GCAGGCTCACCCTGGCGCACCAGCTCCCGCACGGCTTGCTGGGTTTCGTTCGTCTGTTGGTACCACCAACGGGAGAAGAAGGCCATCTCCACGTAGACGAACCTGCGGCTGGGCTCTGCCCGCAGGGCGGAAATGACCGAGTCCAGGATGTTCTTCACGGCCCCGTGGTGGAGCACATTCCGAACTGTGAACACAGGGTCAGGCACTCAGGGAGCAGGAGAGCCAGGGGAACCCTCCTCCACACAGGAGCCCAGGCCAGGCATTGCCCCCACCCTGCTGTCCAGGAATCAGAAGGGATTCGAGGCCCATGATGGGTGTCTGGGGCCACGCCCACCGGGTACTTACCCCCATAGTAGTACTGGTCCCTTGTCTTGACCCAGCCCACGTCATCATGTGTGTGGGGCAGCAGGTGAACGTTCAGTGTCTGGCTGCACCGTGGGGCATGTCTGCACGGGGACCCAACACACACACACACACCCGTGTCAGTACCCCAGGGCAAATAGATGGAGTGGGGGAGAGGCCCAGCTCAGTGGACAGCACGATTGACACTGGGGTGGGGTACTTGGAGTTCCCGTCCTGAGCCTGATGTGTGCAGAGGAGGCCAGGCCCTCCCAGGCAGGACACACGCATCGTGGTGCTCACACGCACAGCTCCCACACCGCACAGCCCCCCAGCGCGGCTCTCCCTCTCACCCTGGGAAAATCATCAGAGCCCTGGCTGAGGTGCGTTCAGCCCTGCACACAGCTGACCTGCGGGCGTCCTGGGGCACACAGACGGCAGTGACCTGGGCAAGGGGGCCGCAGGAAGTGAAGGAGCCAGGGTGGACTTCAGGGAGGCGGCGTCCACAGCCCCGGTTCTCTCTGAGCGCCCCCCCTCCGTCGCCCCCACACCGCCCTCACGGGGCTCGCACACTCAGGCCGGCGGCCCGGGGACCCGGGGAGGCGGGGACCTCATCCATGGCAGCCCGCACGCATTCGGATCCGGTGTGGGACCCACCGCCCCTCGAGGCACCCCGGATCGGACCCGTCCACACCCGCGAACCCTCCGCAGGGCTTCCCCCGGCCGCCTCCTGCTCCCACCCGCGGGCTCGCTCACCTCGTATCCCGCGGCGCGAGTTCCGGGCGCCGCCACCAACACCACAAAGAGGACGGGCAGAGGAGGGAGCGGTCCCCGCGTCCCCCCAGCCGCCGGCGCGGACCCCCGAAGCACGACCGAGGGCGGTCATGGCTCCACTGTCCCCGCCGCCGCCGCCACAGCCGCCGGCGCTGCCTCAGGAGGGTTCCCGGGTCTGGCCGGGGAGTTGGGTGGGGGGTTGGCGCGAACGCCCCGCCCCCAGAACGCGGCCTGGCCAATCGGCGCCAGAGGGGCGGGGCCAACTTGCACTGGCACCTCCCGGGACTGAGGCTGCCACTGAGTAGTCCTAGCTGTCCCAGAACCCAGCCAAACGCGGGACAGGTGCTGCCCTCGGGGCGCTGGATGCCCAGGGGCGCCCTTAGCCTCTCGCCACTCCGTGGGGCACGGGAATGACTCTGCCCCGTTGAGGGTAGGGGCCTCAGCTTTTCCTGCAGCTTCTGGATTTTCCTAGAGGGTACAGGGTATGCGGGGGGTGGGGGGAGATTCTGGGGTGTCCCATCAAGGTTGGACCCTGGAGGGACCGAACTGGGCTTGATGAGATGCGGTTCTGCCCGCTGGGGAAACAAAGTTCCCTCGCAGAGCCTCAGCTCCCACCAGGGCAGCCAGAGCCTCATCTTTGTACTAAGAAAACCAAATCCCAGATTGCTTAGTGGGTGGAAGTGTCTCTCTCTCTCTCTCTCTTTCTGCCTCTGCCTCTCTGTAATTCATCCTTTCAATTAAAGACAAATCTTTTTTTAAAGAGAAAGAGATTTGTGGTTGACCGGATCTAAGGAACCATCCCTGCCAGCCTAGGAATACAACTTGGGTGGGGCACCCCCTAGGGTGCCGCCTTTTACCTTCCGTGTGAATCAGCCTGGCACTAGCCAAGGAACCCGCCACAGCCACTCGGGACAAAAGGACACTCGCTTGGGTCCATGGCTTGGGATGTTCCCCATTCATATACGATGAGTTCCATCGATTAAGCTGTAAGCTGAGGCCAGAGGACAGGATGGGTGAGGCACGGGCAAAGAGAGGGGCCCGCGTTCAGCCAGGAAGCAGGGACAGCTGCTGGGCCCCACTCAGACCTCCAGAACCAACCAACACGCTCATAAGAACAGCATTGCAAGGAGAGCTCCCCAGTGTCCTAAGGGTCTGCCACTCCCGGTTGTTGTTTTTTTTTCTAAAGGTTCATATATATATATATATATATATATAATCTTCAAAATGCAGAGTGATGTGGAGAGAGAGAGCAAGAGCGAGAGTGAGAGAGAATCGTTTGTCGGTTGAAACTCCAAAGAGCCTCTCACCACCAGGATGGGGCACTGTGGAAGCCATGAGCTTGGAACTCCAGCTGAGTTTCCCACATAGGCAGCAGGGGTCTAAGCACTTGGGCCATCTTGCCACTGCTTTGCCAGGGGCATTAGCAGGGAGGTGCATGTGGGGTGGAGGAGTTCAGTCTTCAACCCCAAGATGCACTTCCTAAACACCATAACTAAATGAAGTTCCCCCTTCTAAGTACCCTAAGTCTATGACTTAGGGTTAGAAAAGCTAGACGAGGGGCCAGTGTTGCCTGTAAGTCCCAGCTGCTCCACTTCCGATCCAGCTCTCTGCTATGGTCTGAGAAAGCAGCAGAAGATGGCCCAAGTCCTTGGACTCCTGCACCCACATGGGAGACCTGGAAGAAGCTCCTGGTTCCTGGCTTCAGATCAGCTCAGCTACAGCCATTGCGACCATTTGGGGGAGTGAACCAGCAGATGGAAGACATCTTTCTCTACTTCTCGCTGTAACTCTGTCTTTCAAATAAAATAAATCTTAAAAAAAATCTGCATGAGCTCAGGATCCAAATCCCATTCAATCCACAGCAGCTGTGTCCTCTCATGTTGTGGATTCACCAACATTCCAATCAAAGCAGTGACTTGGGAAAATCGGGGAAAGGGCCATCCAGCAACCATGCTCCAGGCCTGAGTAAAAGCAGGACCAGGGCACCCTCCTCAGGCTTCCCTACCCAGCCTTGGGGCTTCCTTCCTCCCACTTGGCCACCCCCACTTACAAAGAGGTCTTGGCCCATAGCCCAGCATCAGGGCCCCAAGCAGGGTGGCAGCTGGCCCTGGGGCTCCCCCTGTTGGCCTCTTTCTTTGACTGCAGTTTGGGACTCAGGAACCTTTTCAGATAAGAGCCTAAGATAACCCAGGCCCATCAGGAGCTGTGGGCACCTTGGTCACCATACCCGAGCCTCCCTCGCTGGCCAGGTCCAGTCTCCCTTAATGGGGGGGGGGTTAGAAAAACTGGCACAACCTTGGGGCTGGTATTGTGGCACAGCAGGTGAAGCCACTGCTTGCAAGGCCAGCATCCCATAATGAGGCACAGGCTTGAATCCCAGCGACTCCACTTCTGATCCAGCTCCCTGCTAAGGTACCTGGGAAGGCAGCAGAAGATGGATCAAGAACTTGGGCCCCTGTCACTCGTGTGGGAGACCCAGATGTCATTCCTGCTTCCCGGTTTCACTCTGGCTCAGCCATGACTGTTCTGGTAATTTGAGGAATGAACCAGTGAATGGAAACATATCTTGGGACTGGCACTGTGGCGTAGTGGGTAAAGCTGCCTTAAGCAGATTAAACATCGCATATGGACACCAGTTCCAGTCTCAGCTGCTCCACTTCCGATCCAGCTCTCTGCTATGGCCTGGGAAAGTAGTAGAGGATGGCCCAAGTCCTTGGGCCCCTGCATCCATGTGAGAGACCTGGAGGAAGCTCCTGGCTCCTGGATTCAGATCAGCAGAGCTCTGGCCATTGTGGTGATTTGGCGAGTGAACCAGCGGATGGAAGACCTCTCTCTCTTCTCTCTCTCTCTTTGCCTCTACCTCTCTGTAACTGTGCCTTTCAAATAAATACATACTTTTTAAAAAAAAAAGTCAACTGGGGTAAGGGGGAGGGGACAAGCAGTGTGGCCCAGTGGGTTAGGCTGCTGTTTGCCAATCCAACGTCTCATATAGCAGCAACAATTCCAATCCTTGAGGATCCTTTTGTGGTTCCACTACCTGTTAATGTGACTAGGAAGGCAAAAATTGGTGGCCTAAGTACTTGGATCCCTGTCATCCATGTGGGTGACCTGGATGAAGTTCCAGGATCCTGACTTTGGTCACCACCAGCACAACTTTAGAGGCCTTTTGGGGAGAAAACCAGCAGATGGGAGATCTATCTCTATCTCTGTCTCTGTCTCTGTCTCCATCACTCTGCCTTTCAAATAAGTAAGTTATTTTTTTAAAAGATTTATTTATTTATTTGAAAGTCAGAGTTACACAGAGAGAGGAGAGGCAGAGACAGTGAGAGAGAGAGAGAGGTCTTCCATCCACGAGTTCACTTCCCAGATGGCCACAACGACTGTGCCAATCTGAAGCCAAGAGCCAGGAACTTCTTCCAGATCTCCCATGCAGGCACAAGGGCCCAAGGACTTGGGCCATCTTCTACTGCTTTCCCAGGCCATAGCAGAGAGCTGGATCAGAAGTAATGCAGCCAAGACTTGAGCAGGCACCATATAGGATGCCAGCACTGCAGGTGGCAGCTTTACCTTCTACATCACAGTGCCAGTGCCAGTGAATTTATTTATTTATTTGAAAGGCAGAGTGACAGAGATAAATCTTCCATATACTGTTTTACTCCCCAAAAGACTGCAACGGCCAGAGCTGGGCTGAAGCCAGGAGCTCCATCTAGGTCTCCCATGCAGGTGCAGGAGCCCAAGGACTTGGGCCATCTTCCGTTGCTTTCCCAGGCACATTAGCAGAGAGCTGGATCAGAAGTGAGGCAGCTGGGACTCGAATCGGGGTCCACATGGGATGCTGGCACTGCTTGCGGCGGCTTTACCCACTATGCCACAGCGCCAGCCTCTAGGTCATACATTCTACCTCCCTCTAAAAGATGCCACAAAGAGTCCTTCGGTGACCTGAGTGTCATCACTATTTTAATGACATTTTGGGCGGCAGCACGGGGGCAGAGGAGAAGAGTCGGACTCGTCCCAGGAGCAGAGAGCTCAGGCTTGCAAGGCGACTTCCCCGCAGGTCCCGCCGTCCTCTTTCCACTGGACCGAGGCCACAAACATGCGGATCTCCCTGGGCTGCAGCGTGATGGTGGCCAGGTCCAGAGCGGGCACCGAGGGGTTTGGTACAGGGCCTGGGCAGGGGAGACCCAAGAGTGAGAATTCCCCCCCTCCTTCACTCCCTCCCCTGGGCCTGAATACCTGTAGGTCTCCAGATGTCCCCCCAGGGCTCATCCTGGACATTAAACTATTTCTGCATGCCTAAATACCATTGCTAGACACCCCCCCACCCCGCATTCCTCTGCAATGCCTGGCCCTCGCCCTCACACCCTCAAAGCAACCCCAGAACTAGACAACCACAGAGACACTCGAAACTTTTTCCCGGACCCCAATGCTCAACCCACACGACCTGTTGCTTGCTTGTTGAACCCACTTTGGACCTTGAAGCCCTGAGCCTGGATCTGCCCAGGGTCCTCAGGTTCTACACTGGATCCTGGCCCACATTCCCATGCCTCATACACCGCCCCCAGCTGCCAGCTCCAGGCAGGAGCCCACCTCTCCTACACTAGGTGCCCACCGGTGTCCGGTGTCCACTGGAGCCTGGAGGCGCTGGCCCGGGGCTGGTTGGCCACCAGCGTGGTCTCCTGCAGGTGGGTGATGGTGAAGGAGGAGAACAGGTTCTGTGGGAACTGTGGATGGGACCTGATCAGTGGGAGCCAAGGTGGCTCCCCTACCCCACCCTCCACTTTGTCTCTCGCTCACGCTCATTTCCGGTCAGTTTCCCACCTCTGCTCTCCTAACCTGTAAATCCAAGGTCACAGGGGAGCTCAAGTTGCGGCCCGAGTCCTCCCCACTGGCAAACTGGTGCTCCAAGCGCAGCAGCAGCGTCTGTGGGCCCCAGCGGGCCAGGGTGAGCAGGTGCACGGAGGGCTGGAGCTCCAGGCACAGCCCTGAGAACTGAGGGGAGACAGAGGTGGGGCTGAGTCAGAGAGGGGTGGGGCTTGAGGCAGGGTGGGCAAAGCTCAGAGGAGAGGAATGGATGGGATCTTGTAGGACTGAGCCAACGAGAGGACAGGTGGCCCCAAGGTGGAGGAAGATTCCACTTGCTGGTGTATGAGGACCAAAGGGGCAGTACCAATGGCGATTGCGTGAGGCCAGAGATGATCAGGAAAAGGATGAGTGGGATGGGCAAGGCAAGAGGGAGATGCATAAGGGGTGGGGCAGGGCAGAGACAGGGAGGTGGTGGCAGGGCAGGAGCTAGGGCTCTGCCCTACCCAGCGCAGGTGCGGGAGGGACCCCCGAGGCGGCAGACCTAACCGACCGGCTCCCAAGTGCAACTGAGGTCCCCCGAGGTGGCTCCCAACCAGGCCAAACAAAACCCGCAGCCAAGCCCCACCCTCTGCAGGCTCCATTCGCATTCTATCTCTGCCTACAGTGCTGGCCTTCACCTCAGTGATCTGGGCCGTTCTAGATGCTCCAACCTGCATATGTCACCAGGAGTCACCAGCAGGTGTACCCAATCCTAGGAGTCCCACAAAGCCTTAGCCTGGCCCCTGCGACCACCCTGAGTCTCTGGCAAGTCCTGACCTGTCACGAGGAGGACTTAGAGCAGTTTATGGATGCGGATCCAGAGCTCAGGCCCCGTGGTGAGGGCCCACAGGAGCACCCAGGGCAATTCTGTGGGTCCCCCTCTGCAAGGACGACTGGATAATTTTTCAAGAGCTACAGGGATAGCAAGGCCCAAAGCACCACTGAGAAATGTGAACGAACTGGGGGGACAGGCTCTGCAATGGTGCATTTTATCTCCTGTGGTATCAGTCAGATGGGCTCACAGTGTGCACAACCCAAGACACAAGTCAGGCCAGTTTCCCATTAGAATGGAAAAAAGGGAAGTTCCTTTATGAGTGGACTAGATGCCTGCTTCTCCCCCGAGAAGCTGCGTTTAGCAGGTCCAAATACCAGTCTCACCCTTCTAAGTTTCTAGTTTTATCCGGAGAGTGGAAAGACAAGGTTACCTAGGAGTTGGTGCTGTGGCACAGACGGTTAACGCCCTGGCCTGAAGCCCAGCATCCCACGTGGGTACCGATTCAATCCCAGCTGCTCCACTTCCCATCCAGCTCTGTGCTATGGCCTGAGAAAGCAGTAGAAGATGGCCCAAGACTTTGGGCCCCTACACCCGCATGGGAGACCCAGAAGAAGCTCCTGGCTCCTGGCTTCAGATCAGTGCAGCTCCAGCTACTGTGGCTGATTGGGAAGTGAACCAGCAGATGGAATTCTTCTCTCTCTGCCTCTCCTTCTCTGTGTAACTCTTTCAAATAAATAAATAAATCGTGTTTTTTTTAACAGGCAGAGTGGACACTGAGAGAGAGAGACAGAGAGAAAGGTCTTCCTTTGCCATTGGTTCACCCTCCAATGGCCGCCATGGTCAGCGTGCTGCGGCCAGCGCACCACACTGATCCAAAGCCAGGAGCCAGGTGCTTATCCTGGTCTCCCATGGGGTGCAGGGCCCAAGCACCCGGGCCATCCTCCACTGCACTCCCGGGCCATAGCAGAGAGCTGGCCTGGAAGAGGGGCAACCGGGACAGAATCCGGCACCTCGACCGGGACTAGAACTTGGTGTGCCAGCGCCGCAGGCGGAGGATTAGCCTGTTGAGCCGCAGCGCTGGCCAATAAATAAATCTTCAAAAAAAAAAAAAAAAAGAAAGAGAAGGCTCATATGGAATCAACCCAGATGTCCATCAACTGAAGATTAGATAAAGAAATTATGGTATATACACACTATGGAATACTACACAGAGGCAAAAAATAAAATGAAATCCTGTAGTTTGCAATAAAATGGATGCAACTGGAAACCATTATACTTAGTGAAATACGCCAGTCCCAAAAAGACAAATACCACATGTTGTCTCTAATCTGTGGTAACCAATAGAGAACCTAAAAGACAATCTATAGGAGTGAAATTGACATTTTGTAATGTGATGATTTTTAACAGCCCATTTCTTGACTGTTGAGGAACAATGTGTTTTGCTTATTTGTTAGTTTTTGTATTTTCTTCATACTATTTGTTGAACTCTCTACTCAGTGTAGGGTTAATCTTATGAATATAAAGTTAACTGAAAATACATCTTTGTAAAAAAAAATAAGAATGTGAATGGGAGAAAGAGGAGGAATAAGGGTGAGAGTGCAGGAGAGTTGGAGGTAGGGTGGGAAGAATCACTATGTTCCTAAATTTGTTTATGTGAAATGCATGAAGTTCATATGCCTTAAATAAAATTTAAAGAAAGAAGGCTCAGTTCTTATTTCCTTTTTACATTACTTGAAAGTGCATAGAGTTGAATTTCATCACATAGCACACAGTTATGTGGGGAGCAGTAGAAAGGAGAATTAGAGAAGATCGGAATTCATGCACTTCAACACTTTTTCACGTATGATTGATGTTTTTCTCGATATTTTCACCTTAAACTTGTATTTGTGGATTATGCAGGTTCACATACCTTTTCACAGAAATAACCAGTTAAATCCCGCACACTTGACTCAAAGTCCCTATGGACATCTCTTTAGAAACTAGAATAAAACAATCACATCCAGGATATTAACACGAGAACTACTGAAGTATGAAACAGGGGCATGAACCCAAGATCCCTGCAGGTCCCTGTTACAGCCACACCTGTGAAGGGGATGGCTCGATGTCCCCTAGCAAACACTCATTCCCTTAACCATTTGTGTATTGATAGAATTTCAAAATTTGGTAGAGCGTGCCAATATCTCCCTAAGAAAGATGGTGGAGTAGAGATCTCTGGGGCCTGTTGTGCAGTGAACATAGGGGAAATGGAGCTGCAATAGAAACGGGATCCTGAACATGAGAATAAAATCCAAAGTTATGAAACACACAAATACATTAAATTCCACATCAACAGGAGGATCAGCTGGAGTAGGTTATACACATCAGCAACGTCCATAAAAGAGGACACATTGGCCTTGGATTCTCTGTGCTAGAAAATCTGTAAATGACTTTAGTTACCACGTAGAGTTTATCTTTAAGAATAGTAAAACATATGAACATGCTTTCATGTAAAACAACAGAAATAGGCTTTTTGTTTTTGACTGGTTAAATGTCTTGTGTGGTGAAGTATTAAGCCTCTGTATTGTAATGTGAATTTAAAATATTATCACAAAAACTAAAAAAGAAAGGAAAGGTAGGAAGAAAGAAGATGGGAAGGAGAGAGGGGAGGGAGGAAGGGAGGAATATCATTATGTTCTTAGATGTGTATGTATAAATCATATCAAAACTTTAAAAATTAATTAAATTTAAAATAAAAAGCGAGAGAAATGTGACCCAATACAGTACATGTCAAAGATAATAATTATTCCCAATATATCTTTACTATCCTATGAGAAAGTGGCAATTTCCAAATATTCTCATCCAATGTTTAGAAAGACTTTGGGAAAGTAGGGAAGGGAAGGTATTTGGATACAGAAGAGAGCAGAAGGCCTAATAAGTGAGTTGCTTCAATTCTATAAAATGGTTGAGATGAAGCAATGCAAACTCCAGGACACAAACAGAAAGCCTGGGTTCTATGTTTGCAATGTGATTGAGGAATCCAAATTCCAAACTTTGGGGCACTGAGCCCTACAGCTCCAAGCTATGGCCCCTTTGATGGTTTCACTCTGAAGAGTGTTTTCAAAGCCCTCTTTACATCTGCGCTCCTCAGACTGTAGATGAAGGGGTTCAGCTTGGGGGTGACCACAGTGTACATCACTGAGGCTGTTGCAGTTGAGCCTGAGTCATGGGTTGCAGCAGAACTAAGGTAAACTTCTAGACCTGTGCAATAAAATAAGGAGATGACGGAGAGGTGAGAGGCACAGGTGGAGAATGCTTTATCCTTCCCCTGAGCTGAGGAGATGGAACGGATGGAGGAGATGATCTTGGAGTAGAGTAAAGGATCCGAGCCAGGGTACCCACAGCCAACAGTGGAAGTGTAATGTGCATTACCATGTCATTAAGGAAAGTATCAGAACAGGCAAGTTGGGCCACCTTGTGTGGTTCAGCTTACAGAAGAAGTGGGAGATTTCCACGTGTGTGCAAGACAGCTGCAGCACCATTAGGCTTTGCAACAAGGAACTCAGAACACTGATGACCCAGCACACCAGGACCAGCTGCACTCAGAGCCGGGGGTTCATGATGACCGTGTAGTGCAGGGGTGACAGATGGCCACAAACCAGACATAGGCATTCATGGCCAGGAGAAAGTTGTCCAACTCTAACAAAAATCATCTGGGTGACGCAGCCTGCATAGCTGATGGCTTTGCTCTATGTCTGGATGTTCACCAGCATCTTGGGGACGGTGGTGGAGGAGAAGCAGACGTCCACCAAGGACAGGTTGGAGAGGAAGAAGTACATGGGCGTGTGGAGGTGGGGGTCTGAGAGGATGGCCAGGATGATGAGCAGGTTCCCAGCCACAGTGACCAGGTACATGGAGAGGAAGAGCCCACATATGAGGGGCTGCAGTGCTGGGTCCTCTGAGAATCCCAGGAGAAGAAATGTTGAAAGTCGTGTCTCATTGCCTGGTTCCATTTCTTTGAGTTGACCACCAGCTAAGAGAAAAATAACAAGACAGTGTATCATACACAGAGTCCTTCCTCACACAGTTGAAAAATGCTAAGATTTATATTTAGCAGTCAGACAACTGATTTATGTTTATTGTTTATGGATCTGATCCCATGTAGGAAACTCCCTACTGGTGCCTCTGAGTAGGGTGCTGACTGGGCTCTTGCCTTGGTGTCTATCACAGCCTCGTTCCCATTCTTTACTAGGAGGCAGCAGCTGATGTTTTAATCAGTTGGATTCCTACAACCCATGTGGGAGACCAAATGGAAGTCTGGGCTTCTTTCTGACCTGGCCCTACCTTAAGTTTTGTAGGCATTTGGGGTGTGACCCAGCAATTATCATATTTCTTTCTATGCCTTCTGGCTTTTCCTTTTGGTGTGTGTTCCTCTGTCTTTCCCATAGAATGATTATAACTAAATTTAAAAGCAATAGATATGTCCTCACCCTATTTTTTCTTCAAAGCAAAAGGTTATTCGACCCAGGATCTACTTTTACTGAAACTGCTTGCTGCTTCTTATTCACAGCTCTGATGTGGCTTCTACTTCAATCATTTGCCTGGTTTCAATGGACACTTCAAGTAAATACAATAACTGAATATCAAGC